TTTAATTTAATTTAATAAATTAACACATATAACCTTAAAAGATTTGAGTTTATTCAATTAGCTTATATACAGATTATTTATATTTTATTTATTTTGTTAGAGAAAAAAATAATTTAAATTTTTGAATTACTTATTACGTAGTTTGGAATTTTTAGTATTTTTTTTACTATTAAACTAATTTTTTAAAACAAACAGAAATTATTTTAATATTTGATTACCTAAAAACTGTCATAACAAGTGGTCATTTCCAAAAGTTTTGGAAGATTAACAGAGAATTACGATAATTACATTCACATTTCTCTTTCAATGTCGATATTAATCAACTTACGATTGTTATCTTTAACTAAAAATGCAAGAAATGACACATCAGCCTTATTGTCAAAAATGACAACTTTAGAGTTTGTATCGTTTTGCTTTGTTTACGACGGGAATGTCAAATTTAAATAAAAATTTGATTGAATTTCATTTTAATTTAAAATCAAAAATTTTTAATAGAGAGAAAACTCTTATATGGTTATTATTATTTTTTATTTTCAAAGAAAATATTTATAAAAAATAAATTGAATAAATTGTCACATTCCACCTGTTGAAATTACGCAAATTCATTTTTTTTTTCTAAAATTCATATCGACTTTGACATTTTTCCTACGTTTATTTTTTGTTTTCTAATTTTTTTTTTTTGTTTTCTTAATCATATGAAATACATCAAGTATTCTAAATAATTATATTTATTTAAATTTTAATATTACATACAAAAGTATATTATACTTTTATACATACATGCAGGTGCATGTTATATATTTTATAATATTATACGAATTGTCCGGTTTTAAGGTATCCGATTGCATATTAGGAGTTTCTTTATAAATATATACATATTTACATATATATATGACATACATAATTAATACTCATATATCATTATACAAATACACATAAATTTATAATATATTGCATTAATAATATTAAATCAATTCTTATTCTATTTTGAATAAAATTTTTACAAGAAAATATGAAAAAAGAAAAAAAATACAAGTATGTAATTCAAAAAAATTCCATAGATATTAACAAAAAAAAAAAAAAAACAAATAGAAATAAATTAAAAAATAAATTTATATTAGATTGACCACACTGATCGATGGTGCCATACACTTTAGTTTTACCTACATATATGCATGTAGACATTTTTTATAACAAAATAATATTATAAGAACAGCAGTCGCTAATAAAAAAAATGTTCATACACAATTTCCATATTTAAATATAATGGGTGATATTTTTATCCTATTTGGTTTTTCATTTTGACATTTCATTCGTGAATCGCTACAGCTGTCGTCAACATCAATTCAATTCAATGCGATTTGTTATTTCACTGTGAAAAATTTGCTGTTTGGGAGACGTTTTCATTAGTATTTTAATAAAAATTAATTAATAACATATTATATTTGTTAAGAAATATGTCATATTTCGGATCTGTCAGTTGATAGCTGAGAATCAGCTTTTAAAAAAATCACCCATTAGAAATACAAAATGATCTATATATTAAGTGTAAACAATATGCAAAAATTTAAGAATAAATATTAAAAGTAAATTAATTTATTAGATTACATATTTAGTGAATAAAATGTTATTTTTCTATTTTAAATATAATTAATTGAAATGAAAATAACAAATTGGCATGTACATATATTATCGGGGACTCTAAAACTTAATTCAAATTTTATAAATTCAAAATAGCTGTACATAATTTACATTTTACGTCTTAATTTTTTCCTCTCTCCATATACTTATATTTATGAATATATATTTTGAAAGCATTTCTGCGTTTTACTTTTTAAAATTAAATGAAAAAAAAGAAATAGAATAAAATAAAGTAAATTAGTTAATCTAATTTTTATATATGTAGACATATTTGTCCATGGTGTATGGTGTCTTGTCTCTTATCAATGCTTTTAGTTTATATAACATGTTTTTGACAGAATATGAGTTACATAAAAATGATAAAAAAAATTCTAATTAAATCATAAATTATTTTATTGTAAACATATTTATTTTATTAAAATATTTTTTTTGGTTTTGTTTTCCCCCCGAACATGTCAATATAATTAAAATAATATTATATCTATTTTATGCATAATTATTGATTAAAAAATATTATGTAAAAAAACATGTTACGCGATCACAATTTTTTTTTTTCTGTACAAGGTTAAAATTATAATCAGAAATTTTTTTTTTGTATATATTAATTACATAAAACGGTAGTATATACCCTAACATGGGAACGGATGTCCGAAATTTTATTCAATTATAATTATGTCATTTAAAATATAAACATTATGAAGTTGCAGTTTTTGACCACTATGTTAGGATTGTGAACTGATTTTATATAAAATTGAGAATATTAAAAAATGAAAATTTTTAATCAAAATTTTAAAATGAGTTGATTTGAACACCGGCACTGTAAAATTTACTGCAAATATTGAGGCTGCAGTGTAGGATATTTAAAAATTTAGAAATTTCAGAATGTAGAATAAAAGAGTCCTGTTGCAATGCAACAAAAGTTGGGCACACTGATATTTAGAATATTTGCTGTAAAATTTATTGTATATGCGACCATAACCCTTTTGACCCGATTTTCGAATAGTGTAGTTAGAACATTTTTCACATGTACGATGTATTACCTTATTGTATAAAACAAACTGGTATATATGTGTACGAGCCGGTTCGAAAAGGTTAAAGGATTTTATAGTTTTACTGCAAATCCCAATGGACGCTTGGCTGAAAACAAATTATTGACCTATTTGTGTAGATTTCTGAATTTTGCAGTGATTTGTTCTAATTTGCAATGTCAGATTTGATCAAACAATAAAACTGTTATATTCTATTATTAACAAATTTTATAGTTATATTGAATGTTTTCCTCGTAAGGCTTAAAAGTCTTGGAATTTTTTTTGATATTCTAATTATTTGAAATTCATATATCTATACTGTTGCTTTACTCCAATATTTTATACTACATATTAGCACAATATGATCGAATCACTTAATATATTAATCTTTATTTAACAAAAAAAAAATTGTGTAAAATTTTTTTCTTTTTTTATTAATTTTTATTTTAAATAACACTAATTACTATTATTCATTATTATAATATAGCAACAAATAAGTGCAATATATGAGACTATATATTATTATATATATAGATAAGTATGTATATACCATTAGTATGAATTAGAGTCTTGTTAGCTACTACTAGTAGATAACACATGATTGAAGTTAAATTGGAATGTTAATTTAACAACATTTTAAAAAAAAAAATGTTAACACAAAATAAACCCATTTTATTAATACAATTTGCAACACTTTTGTTTAAATTACCTGCATAAATTTAATTTTATTATTATAAATTGAAATTGATTCATTATTTTGTATATTGTCTGTCTATCGTTTTTACTTTTGAAGAATTTTATTAATTAATAATTTTCTCGAAAATTGCTGATAGATTATTGAACGCTACATTCACAATAGATGTGTCGTAAAATAAGTGTTATCAAAATTTTGTACATTCTCTCTTTCAGAATAACAAGAATTTGATATTCTCTCTTGAAGCTATATTAAAAGCCGCCCATGAGAAATTTATGTGAGATTTTCTGGTTTTTTTTTAAACAATATAGCTGTCATTCGGATTTCTATGGCATCTTCTCTGTTATTATACACAATTTAGCAATTATAACTCGCAAATTGAATTATTTTTGAAGTGAATTTTAATTCTGAACTGCCAGAGAAACTGGCAATGTAGGTTTTTTTCCAAAATTTTTAAGTCTATGAGAGAAGTAGGTTCTCGTAGAATCGAAAAATATTTACAAAAATTGTGGTCTGCTACTGCTATTGCATATGCGATGATTTCTCAAAATGTTCTGGCTATATAGCGATTGAATAATATGTTAAATTGTAAACATGAATGCAAACTTATTTTTATGTTGAACTATATTAGTGAACATTAATTAAAATTTATGTATTTTTTAGTTTTTTAGTTAAAAATTTAAATTTGAAATATTATTATATATAAAATCTCGACATTTTTAACAACAACACGATGGTGGTTTATGAAAAAAAAAATTTGAATATTTTAACTAAGTGTTAATTTTAAATTGTAAGCTATAATCAACTCGTTGTTATTAGGAATTAGAAACAGTAAGATTATTATTAACGGGTTTAGCTGTAAGTCACAAATCAAAATTAATAATGAGTACACAAAGCTATAAATGAGATTAAATTATTTCTCCACCTTTTGTAATTATGCCAGCGAGGTAACTAAATGTTTTGTTACTTCTCCTGTTCTTGTTCTATTTATTTTGAAATATAGGTATGTATATGTGTTTCAGTTTTTTATTCTTAAGGGCTCGGTTTTCATTAACTCTATTGTGTAGGAGGTCAAATCTCTTTTTGCATTCCATCGTATTAATACTGTAATTCCATCGGAGAGCTGCGAGCAGAGTATGAATTTGTTGGGTTCTCATGGGCTTATCATGTTTTCATGTGTTTATTTGTTAATTTATTTTTAAAAAAATAAAATTTATTTCACAAAATTACAATTATTACTTAAAAAATAGATTTTTAATTTAATCGAGATTCTAATTAACAGTTTAATTTATTTCATGCTACTATTATTGACACCATTTTAAAATCTAACGGTACTTATACTAATTAAAATTAACTTCATTTCCGGCCTCGTGCAAAATTGTAGACGTTACATCAGCACTTTTGATGTGAACGATAATTTCATAATTTCTTCATGGTTAAACATGTTCGATTGCAGATGCTGTGGCAGCAATTTACATGTGAACAGAAATTAGTATTGTACTAAAGATGTAATTCGATGATTTTTGAATATGTTACTTTACACCGTGATAACTTATATTTAACCTTCCATTATCAATTATTTACAAACCTATAACAAAAAATATATTTTTAATATTAATTTTTTTTTTTAATTTCAGATAAGATATCGATTTGGTTTATACGATGAAATTTCGTATACATTTGGTAAACGTGTACGTAATTGTAATTGGGTACGTTTTTTAAGAGTATCAGAATCATATGGACCACAAGTAAATTTAGTATGTACTAAAGTTAAAGGTGAACCAATATATGAAATAGTAAAACCAATATTACCAAATCAAGAACTAGTCGTATTCTTTTTACCCGAAAGACCAGAAGAACAATTTTTTGTTAGAATGAGAGCATCATTATATCGTCAAACAATGGACTCAATATTAGAGGGTATTCTTAAAATATAATTAATTTTTTTTTTTATTAATAAATTATATCTTCCGAACAATCACTATGTGTGAGTGCTAAAATTATATTTCAATTGTAATTTTTATCTTGTTAATTCAATAATTTTAATTTCTCATATTTCAAATTAAATTTCTCTACTCTTTATTGTGATTTAACTTAACCTTTGAAAACCTTTATAATATTTTAATAAATTTTTTTTTATCTTTTCACATCTTTTATAATATTTTATGTATAATAACTTACATAAATATATTTTTATTATTTATATGTATATATATAGGTTCACCCTTAGATCTATCAATGTCATTAATAAATCGTGTTATGTTACCAATATCACCACCATCCAGTAGCGAAGATGAACATAAATCAATATCAAGTGAATCGTCTGGATCAATCTCATCATTAACAGAAAATACAGGTGATCTTATATTAAGTTCAACAGGTGCTGAACATGATCTTAGTCCATCACGTCATCATCATCATTTACATCATCATCATCATGTACGTACACCACAAAGAGCACGCAGCAGCCGTGGAGAACGTTCACTTTTACCATGTGAAGTTTGTGGTAAAGCATTTGATCGTCCAAGTTTACTTAAAAGACATATGCGTACACATACAGGTGAGATTAATGAATATAATAATATAAAAAAAAAAAATAAATATATGGTGGAAAAAAAATATATAATACCAATAACTATAATAATAATGAGGAGAAGAAAAAAGAAAAATGTATAAGAATTATTTTCTTTGGTTTTTTCTTTATCGGCGTTTTTCCTTCTTTTTCCAATTGAGTTTTTGTGTGTTTTGAAATTTTTAAGACAATACTTGTTTTGCTCTATAGTGTAACTAAATATACTGTTTGTATATTAAGGCACATATACTTATACATATATATAATTATATAAAGTGTATGGTGAATATGATATTACGGTTTAATGTGAAGTATAGGCATAAATGCAGTGAGAAAAAGAAATTATAAGGCATAATTAGTAATTTAAAGGAAACATAATAAGTTTTTCATTTTCCCTTGTTCATTAATTTTAGTACTTCAACTTTTAGAGGAAAAACACAGGTTTCCACTTTTATTTTCAAAATTTTTACTAATAATTTTAAAATTAAATTTATACTTGAAATATTGTAAAGTATGAAAATTCTCTTCTCATATGCTTTCATCACATTTAATTTCGATTAATTGTACGTACATTAATTAATTAATTAAAAATGGCTGAAGTTTAAATTAATTCCAAATTTTTATTATTTTTATTTAAAACTCATACTTACCTCTCCTCTTTAATGTGATCAAAACTATTAACATATTCTCGTATAATGAGGCGGTTATTTGAGCACTTAACTCTTACCAAATAAAATCGAATTTAGTGTGGGAGTGTCTGTAAGAGCTATTGGAACTTCGTTAGAGTAATGAAGTTGCCCTATTGTGGGTCGGGGCAGACGATTCTTTTCATTCCTGGCCCGTCTCCTAAAAGAATCAATGATCTGTTGGCGTTAAATAAGAGAGAGGATATTTTGGTGGTCGGCCTGGACATTGCAGACTGTTATATCACTTGGATTATCACTCATGACAAATATGAGGGGAATGAATAATATTTCTGTTTTTGTTAGGCATTGGAATTGGCGATAAGTTCATTAGTGGTGGTAGCCTCAGATTGGGAGGTGGTGCTTGGACAAATCTTAATTACGTGACGATTACAGGTCTAGGTGGCGATTTATAAACGGTGGGATATTACAATAAATTTTTGTAGCTGCATCAATCAGGTCTGAGAACCAATTTAAGTGAAACAATATACAATATTTTACGTTTCTCTTGATTCGAACATTTTTTAATTTTCGAAAGATTTTTCACAATTAATTTTAGTTATACTCTTTTTTCAACCTACACTCTCTTTATTTCTTTTGGAAAGGTCAGTAACCGAATAAGCTTTACTTTTTTATTATATTTAAAAATATTAGCCATTCTCTTTGTTTCTCTACTTAGGAGTTCTTTATTTTTCGAATCAGTATTCGGCATACAAGTTCCTCAAGTGGATTATATGTCAGATTATAATTTTTTAAAAGAAATTCTATGATTTTCCGGTTAAAAATTAATTTCTCTTAACTAGAGTTCATTAAATATTGAGTTTTGTACCGACATTTTTTTGACGATTGTTTCCGAAAATATGAATTTAGTTTAACTCAATATACTAAATATTTATCAACATTTTATTGAATGTTGCTACTATACATTTTCTGCGTTTACTTTAATCTCATTATTTCTCATCATTTTATGTTGATTTAATTTTTAAACACCATGTACCTCATAATTGATTATTTTTATAGCAAAAATTTCTTTAAAAAATTATTATGATTTTTATTAATTTCATTTTTGTTTGTTTTCTGTTTCTTCTTTTCTTTCATGTGTCTTTTTTGATTGTTCAGGTGAAAAACCTCATGTCTGTATGGTATGCGGTAAAGGATTTTCAACATCAAGGTAAGCTTACATATATATATATGTTTTAACATTGAAAACTTTTGAAGTCTTATTGTTGAAAATATTGTATTATATGCAATTGAATATAGAAGAAAACTAAAAAAAATATTATATTTTATTAAGAATTATTGGGTATATGAAAAATAATTATAAAAATTTTTCTATATTATAGTTCACTTAATACACATAGACGTATACATTCTGGTGAGAAACCTCATCAATGTCAAGTTTGTGGGAAACGGTTTACTGCATCTTCAAATTTATATTATCATCGTATGACACATATTAAGGTATGTATATTTGTATATATGATTTTTATTTATTACTTTCTATTTATATTGATAATGTTTTTTTTTTCAATTTTAATATTGTAAAACAATATTATTATTTCGGAGTATAGGTTCGGTCAAAACAGATATATTGCAACTGAAATATATATTGGAGTGTATGCGTACATGTATTGCAAAGTCTGAGAAAATCCTTGCAACATTTCATAAATATTTTCATTTGGAATGTAAATTCGAGATTTATTGCGGTCAAATATAATAAGATATTGTGTAATATGAGTGAAATCGAATTTAGAAATCTTCTTCCAGAAATTCTTTTAAAATAAAATAATTTTTGGTAGAAAACAATTGCCCAATAATTATTGATTAAATTCCATTTAATAATATCACATAGTCTTTTAAAACACATCGATTGGAGTGATATGATTTGTAAATAAATTATTATATATGACGCATATGTATGTCATAAATGAGAGTGACGTAAATGAGAGGATGAAACTCATTTATATTCAAGAAAAGGGTATAGTTTACACTTATTTAGTAAATTACACCCAAAATTCCATAAAGATCCCCCCCAAACAATAATTTTTTATTTATAAAAGTTCATAATGATCTCATTAAATCAAAACTTTTAATTTATTTATTTTAAAATAATTTCTGTCACAACAACTAAATTTTAATGTCAACTTGATGTGTCAAACTTATTGAATTCTAAATTAAAGACGCGTAGAAAAGAAAAAAATTTTTTTCTGCAATTTTTAATTTTCTGTGCTTTTATTTTTCGTTCTTTTTTTTGTTTTATTACCTCAAATGGGAAATTCTTTAATTTCTCAAGTGTTTAGCAGGACAAATTAATTTATCAGAGAGCACCAATGATGAATTTTTTTTTTTTCCTTGTTTTCTAAATAACAAAAACCGAAGAAAAAGAGCTACCGGCATCACGATTAAATGAAAAAATAAAACAATTTTGCCGCTATTTAGTAAGAGATGAACGGAAGGAAAGAAAAGAGGGGAAAAAAAAAACGTTAAATTTTTATTGGGGACTGTTACTCTTACACATACCTAAGTATATAGATATGAAAAGGGCAAGCAAAATGACAATATAAGCATAAATATAGAAGAAAAGCAGAAAATTAAGAAAATTATTTCAAGATTTTTATTGTGTTTATAACGCAATTTTTAACCTTTTTTCATGATTAAAATGTTGAAGATTTTTTTGCGAACACAGTATGCAATGTGTGTGCATTGTTCATACATACATATATGCTTATGAGTGTGTTTATTTTCAAAGGGAATATCGCGAAATTGACCCTTTATCAGTTTTCAAGTATTACGTGGAAATTTTTTTTTTGTCTTTTATTTTATACCTATGTAATTTTCAATAATGTTTTATTTTTCGTTGGTTATTTGCGCAACTTCTTGATGAAATTAGTATGAACTATTAATAGGTCTCATATATAAGAAGAAAGTACCTATACTTTTTTGAATATTGAATTATTTTCATTTTACAGCTCTAAGGCTTGTGGTAAATTGAGAAGTTTTGCATAGTGTCTGTAATACAGTTCGGATATTTCCCAATGACGTACTTATCCCTGGTTTGAATAGTAATGAAATGTTTAAGGAATTTTTAAAGCTATAAGAATTATTTTATCTTCTAATAAAATATTAATGTGTACATTATGCTACTGTTAATATTAAATTTTGCTAATAGTTTAATATTAAAAAATACATTTTTTCTATAGAGAAAATTTCAAATTAGTTATCAACTTCCGAATGACGTAAATTTTAATTAAAATAATTGAAATGAAATTTTTCTTATTAAAATTTCAATTCAAAATATTTTGAGAAATCCTGTGTACGTATAGGAATTTCAATTCACAATAGATTTTCTATTTCATAAAAAGTGGTAAATTTAAAAATTTAAAAAAAAATATTAAAAGCCCCTATAATTTGTACGGTATTTATACACAATTCACCTAATAGATTATCACTGTTGAATATTGTGTGTGGTAATTCACAATACTGCTGTAATCTTGTAGTTATGTGGAATGTATTAAAAAATTTCAATAAATATTTTTATTATTAAACGCGAATAGTAATTCGAAAATTAGAATTTTCCGTAAAATTAATTTTGAAAAATCGGTTCAATTCCAATACAATTAATTAATTTTCATGGATATTAATCTTAATAGCCTATAATGTCGTCCATATTATTCACAATACAAATATTAGTAAGAATTATACTTGAGAATGCAAAAAAAATTTAATCTGAATTAGAAAATGGAGTAAGTTTTTCTTTTTTTTGCAAATTAGTGTTTCATATGTACTTCCCTTGGATATAGGATAAAATTTTCTAAAGTTAAGTAATTCGAAATTTCTTAAACCAAGGAAAATATTCTACAAAATAAATCCTATTTTGTTATGGTCAATTTTTTCCCATTTTTTAATCTTTTTTTATTATTTCCACGCTCTTCTATAATTCTTAAGTTTTCAGAAAAAAAAAATTGACTTTATTTGGAAAGATGCTATGTAAAAGCGACAAAAATAAAAAAAATATCAACTACTGTTTGGAAATTGTTTTTTTTTTTATTAAAACTTAAAAGTCATATTGTCATTGCTATTATGTATGAAAACGAGTGCAAGTGCGCATTTTTTTTTCGTTTGTTGTTCTGAAAATCTGTACGTAAAGAGCATACAATATAATTATAATAACTAAGTTATAATATTTATATAAAAGGAGTCGAAGTATATATATAAAAAAAAATCATTGTATTATGATCGTTTTAACGAAAGAAACAATCAATGGTATCAGGGGGTCGGCAACCTCTTTAGGACGGTGGAAAAAAATATTATTTTTAAAAATAATATTTTTTATACGGGCAGCAGACTTAAATGCGGCTTAAACAAAATTGAGATTCATATTTGAAGCGCTCAGCGCATTTGTGGCTACAACATAATTGAGAATCACATTTAAGTCGCTCAGCACATTAATGACATACTTGCAAAAATGACATTTCGAGTAAAATGAAATTGAATGTTAAATATTCAATTTTAAAGAAAATTTTTAAGAGGCAAAAACAAGCTTATGTCAAAATTGAGTAAAAAGAGGAGTAGTAAGCTAAGTATTATGAAAAAATTGAACAATTCTTTAGGCCATTACAGTTCTATTGAACATAATAAACTCTTTTCTGGAAAAATTTTGGATAGGCCATTAATGCTCTGAGCGCATTATTTGTTATACTCATTTTTGCATTTCGTGACGGCGCAAACTTAATTCTTTGAATACGCTTATATAGATTCTTTGTGGTTTTGCGTAATTATTAATAAATAAAATATTAATAAAATCACTTTTCATTAAATTCTTGGTTTTCGTCATTAATTTTTATTAATCATTTCTACAATAAAATATTCATTATTTAGCAATAAATCACAACTATTATTGTGAGATTTCATTCGGTTCTAAATTTCAACGTGTTCAATGCTCAAAATTCTTAAATGGATATAGCTGCATCCCAACAAAATGCTATAATTTCTTGTGGAGAGTGGTGATCCAGAAATTCTACACACAGAGTGATCAAATTGCCGACGAAATCAAAATATGTTTTGCTGAATACTTTATTAAAGAAGGTCGAACCGACTAGCAAGACGGTTGTATATTATTTAATCTATAATCTAAATAAAAGATAGTTTACTCCGGAGATTTAGATAACAATAAAATAGATTTCTCATTGTGAGCGCATTTTTGTCGCCAATCATATTTCGTCACTTTCACGCTCTATAAGTTTATTGTTTTTTTTTTTTCTAAAAATGTTATAGTCGTTTAGGGGGCTGTATAAAAAATTCTGAAGGGCCGCTGGTTACCAAATCCTGAACAATACACTTTATGTATTATTTACATTATATTATTATAAGTATCAGGCGACTCAGACGTACAAACTATGGTATTTAAATTGAAATAAACAATATTATATATAAAAAAAAAGAACAAAGAAAAACAGGAAAAGAATAAAATCATAAAAAATACAAAAAAAAATCTGGACAAAAATACAGTGGCAAAGAAACTCGCGCGGTATAATTCGTATCAAGAACTATTCCGCTATTAGTGAAATATGCTTTGTTGAGATCCGCACTCAAAGGATGCCGATCAAAAGGAAAAATTCTTAAAATGATTGTTGCTTTAAAATTTTTAAATTGTTACGATTTTATTTTATTTTTTTTTGATTTTTGATTTTGTTGTTGAGTTTTTACAATATTTAAGTGATGATTGTGCTTGTGATTTTACATGGAAGCATTTTTTTCTTTCTTATTATTGTTATTTGTTTTTTTTGAAGAAAAAAAGGGATTTGTTCACAATTTCAAATAATAATGAAATAAAAGAGAAAAATAAGATAGAAAAATAAAATTAAAAATCAAAGTTGTTTTATGTAGAAGAGGCACACACTCTTGTGGTACATTTTTTTTTAGGTAAGTTTATAAAATTGCAATTTTCATATTAAGAAAATGCATAGATTTATGTGTAAGTGTGTGTGTGTGGAGGTTTTACTTAAAGATACATGCAGTATTGTTGAATTTTACAAAAAAAGAATTGTACCTACTGATTTTTGTTCCTTATACTCGTATGCAGTAAGTAGTAAGAGAATAAAGTGCGGGTAATGCGGTTTGAATACTGCTATTTTTTTTTTTTTGGGAAAAATAACAACAAAAAAAAGAAAGGAAATTCTCAAATCGCATATAGAGAAAACAAGAGAACACTTAATATGAAGTGAGAAAAAGAAGAGAGAGAGTAAGTGAGAGATTATTAAATGTAAATCAAAAGCAAATCAAAAATAAATAACACAAAAAAAAAGAAGAAGAGAAATGATGAAAAATAAAAAAAAAGATAAAAATCTTCAATCTTAATTGATTTGAAAATTTCTTGCAAAAATGCCATGCCATTGCAATCTCATCTATACAAAGAGTAACAAAATGAGTTCATTTTTATATTATTTTTGTTTTTCTTCATTTGTAAATTTTTTTGTATTTTTTTTGTTAAATTTTATTTTAATTCCTTTGAAGCGGAACTTTTCTTTTCATCTTTTCACTTATTAGGTAGGCAATAATAACATTTAGAGAGTAACAAAATAAGAGAAAAAAAAATAATAAAATTTAAAGAAATTTTCTGATATAATCAAAATTGAGATGATGATGACGACGATGGTAACTCTGTCTAAATTAATGTATAAAATAATTTGATAAAATACTTACATTTTTTATAATGTTAATAAATTTTTTCAATTATTCGAAAGAACTTTATTAATTTTACTGTTTGTGCTTTTACAAGCACTACAAAAAGGAGAACAATTTTGTTGAAATAATATTGAATAATTAAACAGGAAAAGAGAATTTTATTATTCTATTTTATTTAGAAAAATTATACATGGTTATTATTCAAAAATCAGCTTCGGAATACTATCAGAAGTGTTATATATGTAATTGAATTAGATAGTTATAACAGAAAAATTAATCTGAAATAGGAACTTAAAGTGGCATTAATGTTGGTTAGAAGTATTGATATTAGGTTAGGTTAACTAAACGCGGCTCCCCGATGGGTATGCATAAGCCACCTAGATCCGGCGATACTAAAATGTCACTAGACACATTGTGGTATCGCCGGATCTCTCCTTTTCCGCTTCTAATTCGAACCAGCCGAAGCTCCTCACAAAGTAGTGATATTAGATTGAAATGAGCAAATTTATGTTATTGAAGTCGTGGTGAAAATATTGTATATTCACAATAATTTTTAAATCAATTTAAGAGTTAATCTGTTGTATTTGTATGTCAGTATTAATTCACTTAGCGGACTATATGAACCATCGTATCTTTTTCTTTTCCTTTGAGATTAAAGCGAGTAAAATGATAAGTTAAGATTTAAATGTGTTGAATCAGAACAATTTTAAAGTAACATTTAATTGGAAGGTGGAACGAGTGAGAAATGAAATAACTATTACACGAATATGTTGACGTTTCTTAGAAAATGTGAATTTTGAAAGTGAATTCTAATAATGGTTAGTATAGTTAAGGTTAACTAAAGTGTAAAGATTAGAAAATGAGTAACTACAAAGGAAAAAAATATCTCTGAAAAAAGAAGGAGAATTTTTCTCGTTTTAAAATGAGTATACAAAATTATCTTTACCTGTCATATTTCCCGAGTTATAAAAAAATATGTTAAAATTAGACAATTTTCCCATAATTCAACTTTAAGGCCTTATAACTTGAAAACAAGGATCCAAAAAATAAAAAGTCACTAGGTATTTTTTGTTCGTCTGAAGTCACTCTATCACCCTGCTTCGGGAGTACCATTGTGTCTCGGATACCCTGTATGGTCGCAGCTAAAAATGTCATCTATTTACAATAAAAAGAAAAGAATATGACGTTTAATGTTAGTGTTGTCGTTTGATTAGGAAAATATATAGTAATTAGTATAACATTATAATTTAAATATAATGTAGTACAGTTATTTCACAAATTATCAACTACAATTATATAATTTATTTTATGAAATCATTTTTATTATATTAATAAAATTTTTTTTGCAAAAAAAAATTTAAAAAATTAAAAATTTTTACAAATAATTTTTTTTTTTTTTCGTTACAGGAAAAACCACATAAATGTAATTTATGTTCAAAATCATTTCCAACACCTGGAGATTTAAAATCACATATGTATGTACATAGTGGTTCTTGGCCTTTTAAATGTCATATTTGTAGTAGAGGTTTCTCAAAGCATACAAATCTTAAAAATCATCTATTCTTGCATACCGGTAAGTTACAAAATTTTTTGTTTTCTGTTTTGTATTTTATTTAAAAATCCATATACAGGTAGATAAATCATAAATATATAGACATTACCATACATTTATATATATCTTAACATTTTATATTAATGAATCTCTATATATATACAAAAACGTTAAAGAAAACATAATCAATATAGCGTAATCAATATAGATCGAATCAATATTATTAAAATAAATGAATTTCTGTTATTTATTGATTGCCAAAGATAGAAATCTGATTAATTTAACTTGATTTGATGATTAATAAACTAAACAATTTATGGTTATATTTATATATACATATAAATTTTTAAGGTACTTTAATGGTAAAAAGGAATTTATACCCTTTTTAATTAATAAAACATAATAATCAATGATTAAATTCTCAGAAAATTGATTTATTTTTCAATTTAAAATTAATTTTTATATTTTTCAATAAGATGGCAGGTTATGTCATTAAGAATATGTTATACGTCTAGAATATATTTCATGAAATTCAAATCATTGGATTTTTAGATTTTAATATTTAATCTGGCATAAATATTCGCAAGTTTTATTTTTAAGGCTCCTAACTGGCCAAAAACAAATTAATTTCCCTTTCAACTTTTGACAAATTTATTGACATGTCAGTAAAATTAAAAAATATTTCGTCATAACTAATTATTTTGACTTGATTCAATTGATTTTCTAGTACCTACGCTAAGATTTTATCAATAATTTCTAATTTCTAATATTCGAAATAAATTTGATTAATAACTTTTGTTTAAAGTAACATTTTAACCCTTAATCAGTTGAAAATAGTTTGAAATACAATACTTTCTAAATTGGCCGAATTCTAATAAAATGCTTGGTTATTAAAATTTCAAAATTTTTTAAGTGACTGTCTACATTAAAATACGCTTAAAAAATCATTGATTATAAAGCTTTTCCGAGCAACTTCAAATTATTATTCAATTTTGATCATTGGTCATTGACACCATTTTAATTTAATATTTTGAATTATAACAAAATATGTGCTGACAAATTTTTGTAACATTTTATTTAATTTTAATATTATTTTATTAGTATTAATTTGAAAATTCTTTTAAATCCTACCAAAAAAAAAATTCTTTAACCTCATTTTACGGTCATAAACAATTAAAATTTTTATTTTAATATGTTCGCATCCATGGCAACTGAGGATTAATATTAAATAATAAAAGCTGAATTCAATTTATTTTTTTAAACTAAATTCAATTTCAAATGATATTGTACGGCATATTATATAGCTGCTGTTGGAAAAATGTAGCCCATGAGCAGCATGCAACTCATTCAACTTCAAAATGTGGCCCATTACAGTGCTTACAAGGAAAAAATTTATTCGACTGCGATTATTAAAATTTTTCAAAAAAAAATTTTGAAAATTCAATCAGAGATAATAGATATAAGAACAAAACAATCAATAAACTCAGTTGAAAATATCATTTTTCTTGTAAGTACGATAGGTCAAATGTCAGAAACTCGCGCAGCACATAATCATACTCACATAGTACATATTTACCCCCATAACCAACAAAAGTTTGTCGACGGCTATTGTATAGCATTTATATATAACACTTTTATTATAATTAAAAATTTTTCGATTATTATCAACTTAATATCTTATAGTTGACATGAACACGTGAAATATTTTAAATCTATATTTGAAGCATAAAGAATTTCAAATAAAAAAACAAAAACACTTTTGATATTTTATTGAAATATTTATAATGTTTTCATTTAAAAAAAAAAATAAATAAACAAAATTACAAAAAAGGTTGATGATGGAAATTGAATTTGATAAAAGAAGTGAGATCTTAAATTATCATAATTAAAAATACAGCAAAAAAAAAACATAAGAAATAAATAAATTGAAAATGAAAATTAAATTGAATTTGTTTTTTTCCTTTATTTTTATTTTTCCTTCAATATTACCAATCACATTTGTAATGTAGGTTTGAATGTTATATATAGACACATTTTATATATTAAGCAAAAATTTTATGCAGACATTTCTGAATTAAAATGACATTTTACTCTAAAAACAGTATGTCTGTAAATCAGTAATGTGATCAATCATTTTATGAATGTCATACATTATTACTGCTATGCATGTATATTAGTATAATTGTATGTGTGTGTGTCTATATTATGATTTGTATATATTGCACTTGCATTTTATTATACGTATACCATTATGAACTTAAATTGGATACGAAAATATGCGCAATTTTTTTTATTTTTCTTATTTTTTATTTTTTTATTTTTTTAATATGTATGATTAATGGAAATGCATTGAAATGGAAATATATGATTATAATTTTTAAGTTCAATTCTTCGATATACTTATATAACACTAAATAAAATAAAAAAAAAAAATCTTGGATTTTTTTTTGTAGAGTTTTTCTTGTATAAATTTATGTTCGACTTATATTGATTGCCATTAAGATCTAAAGAGACTATTTTATTTTTTTTTTGAATTTTCAATTTTATTTATTTTCTTTTATATATTATGTATAGCTAATGTTGTTTTATTTTTTTCTGTTCTATATCTATAGGTGACAAACCTCATGCATGTGAGCTATGCAATAAGAAATTTGCTTTAGCCTGTAATTTGAGGGCGCATATGAAAACACATGAAGGTAATATTAGCATTTTTGCATTAAATAATAATTTATATGTATGTATATAATGTACAATATTGTAGATATTTGAATCGAAATCAATGACTATATTATTATATTTAATTAAGATAATATGAATGTAATTTTTCACTGTTGATTGAACACATATTTTAAATAATGCAAATATTTGAAATTAGAATTTTGAATTTTAGACTAAGAAAGAATGTATATGCAAGTACTCTCGGCAGACGACTCCTTCAAATGATTTCAAATTTTATACCAAATTAAATGTACTCTATATACTAAAATGTAGATATATAATTAAATATTATTTTGAAAAATTGCCTATTTTTAGGCTGATATTCAATGTTTTATAATTAATTCGGAAATAATATTTATTGGAAATATGTTTATATATACAGGGGCTTTCAAAGAAACTGTGAGGTCTGTGGCAACTGATATTTAGAAGCTTTACTCACTTTTATATCACCAAATTTAATAATTATGTTCGAATTATCTATAAAAAACGTGCTGTTTCATAATTAATGTTTATAATTACTAGTCCATTTAGTCGGTCCTGACATATTCTCGATGAAATGTTTAATTAATTCAAATCTTTTTCATGGTGAATTATGAATTATTTCATTTAGACTTACGTATACAAATGTTCAATATTCTTAATACTCATTGATTCTTAGTACTTATTCAAAATATTTACAATTCTCTTCATTGAAGACAATTAAAATATTTTGTTTAAAATATTAACCTGTTAATTTGAGACACCGCAGATAGTGAGGCCCAGGGCAAATGTCTCTCTTGTCTCAACCTCTGATAGAGCCTGTGTATATATATATATATATGATTCATATTAAGGAATGAGATATTACATTTTATTCTAGTCACGATTTATAACACTAGTGACGATTTGTTATGTCAGCCGCTTTTATGTATTACAAGAAAATTTGTTTTGGAAAAATTTTTGACGATTTTAGTAAAAATTGTATTTAGATTGCACAATGCCATCTATTCAATGAATTCAGGTAGAAATTCATCTAGATACTAATATTTTGTTAATAAATCTTGTGAATACAAGATTGTAGAGAACTTTTTACTGTATATGATTTTAAAAATACTCTTTACTACTCGTATTTGAAAATTTTGATTTAAAATCTCTAACCAATAACTATATACTCGTAGTATAGGTATATGAAAAATTAAAGCAAAAAAAAAAAAATTGTGATAAATTTAATTCACAATTGATTTAAATCTGGTTAAAATTGATTTGAATTCCATATTAATATATTACCGTCCATTCATTTTTCAATGTTTTTTATTTCACATATATTTTACATATACACACATCTATATACAAATTAATATAAATAGCATTGTATAACTAAATATTTTATTTTTATTTTTATTTATAATATGCAGGTGATCCACAAGATGAATGTGTCCGATGTGGTAAAGTATTTTTAGCAAATTCAAATGATTTAAAGCAAGGTATTTGCACAAAATGTTCTAAAGAATCAAATGAAAATCATAAAACTGGTTTTCGATCATCCGGTGAATCTACAACTGAAGATGAATCTTCGAATGGCGAAACAGAATTTAGCGATAAATGAAATTCAAGATTTTAAACTTTGGTTTTTTTATTATATGATTTTTTTTTTTTTTTTTTGGTTTTCTTTTCTCGTTTGTCTGTTTTATTTTTTTTTTTTTGTAATTTTTTTAATCAACATTATAAAATATGTAACTTTTACTTAAGAAATACTTATTTACATATGTAGGTATAATATATATATATATATATATATATATATATATATATATATGTATATATATATATATATATATATATATTAATATGTCATATGTGCATATTATATATATATATGATTTTAAATAAAAGGGACAGAAATTAAAATCAAAATGTGTCCACTACTCTCTAATAACGTGTAGTGTAAGGCATGAGTTAAAAAAAAAATAAATTCATAACATGAGCATATAAAATCAAATTACATTAGCATACGCGTATATACATGTATGTACGTGTGTATGAAATGCTAATGGATATATGAGAAACTAGTATACGTCAAACTATTAATATACATTGTGCATATTATTTATAATCGTATTAGTATATTGCATTTTAATATACAAACACTAAGTGTGTACATTGAATGTTATAATTTTAGCGAGGCACAATAAGAATTGAAGAGAGAGAAAAATGAAAACAGCTTATATTAAAATTAAAATTTTTGTTTTCTAACCTTACACAGAGAAACATTTTTATAATGAACTCGATTCGGAATTAAATGAATAAATTTGATGAGTTTGTCTTAGAAATGAAAAATTATGTTCAAATTTTATATTTCATTGCATCAATAGTATAAAATAGCATAAAATTATAAAAGAAATAATTCAATATAATTTTTCAATTGAATATTGCTAAAAAACTTTATATAGCTTATTTGAAATATTTGATTAAAAACAAAATACTCTTAAAAAAATTTTCGAAATCAATCATTATGAATTTTGTTCTAAAATCTCATTTTCAGCAAAATTTTTTATGAATAATGAAAATTGAGTAATTAATTTCTTTAATTTCAAAAACTGAGCTTTTAAATAATAAATTAAAAATTTGAAAAAAGTCCTACTATACAAAAATAATTGAATTGAGTTCCGATAAAATGTGTTTTACTGTTCATATATAAATTTTATACATAAAATTATACAAAATTTTAATAAACAATAATTGTTTAATAATTAATATTGTAGTACATTTACTGCATTATATTCTATACAAAAAGTATAGAATATAAAGCAGTAAGTGGACAAAGGGGTTAATTTACACACATTTTTTCATTGACAAATTGTAAAACTAGAAATTTTTTTATTACTTATCTCATATGTGCACTGTCAATCTCGTCTTCTATTAAATTTCTAGCTATAAGAGTAATCAAACAGTTGAAAATATATGAAATTAAATGATTTTCTATTCGAAAAGCTTAATTTTCGTTAAAATGTTAGTTAACCCCTTTGTTCACTTACCTCTTCTTTATGCCGTATATAAATATAAAATATATGGAATGAAAAAATTGAATTTATTTTACAAAAAAAATCCTTATACACACATACACACACTAACACTGTAAATACATTTTTATTTTTTAAGAAGAAAACTAAAATTTTATTTGGTTTTTTAACATATTTTTTTCTTTTTCAAATAAATATAGAATTTAAATTTATTAAATGTACATATAGATATAATCTTAATATATATACAAATATTCTGTATAACATATTCAATTACATACATATATTATATTATAATATTATGTAAATATATATTTGCCCAAAGGTCGAGCACAAATTTTCATTCAATAACGTATATAATATGTAAAAATTAAGTTATATCGTATTTTTTTTTTTTAATTTTTTTTTTACTGATTTTAAGTTAATGATAATAAAATAAAAAAAAAAATATTACAGTACTACATAATAATAAATTCAATATAAGTTTCAGAACGTATATATATATATATGAAAGTATGTATATATAATACACATAAGTATATATTAAATATTGCGACATACTAAATATAAATTGAATTTTATACATTATAAATGATTATATTTTAATTTATATATGTATATACATATATATTTTATTATTCTAAAATCATAAATTAAATTTTCTTAAAATATACATACATATATATATAATACTCGTTTATTAACAAAATTTATTAATATAACAGTTTATTATTATTATTATTATTATTATTATTATTATACATGACAATATTCATATATAATATTATATATTTTATGTAATTGATGAACACCAAATATTATAAGATCTCGTTTGATTAACATTCTTTCATTTATCGTACTCACAAAGAAAATTTTTTTCATATTATTATATTATTAACTAATAAATTAACAAACTTATATACTAATATATTATATATAATTTACATTTAATATCAAATTATTATAGCTTACATTTATGTATTGATACGTGCGTATACTAAAAATACTAAAATATCATAAATTTTATTTAGGAAAATAAAACAAAAATACTAATTTATATAACTACAACATCATATGCAGGCATCGTTCTCATTTGTTCGCTGCCCTACGTGGTTTCCAAAAAAAATACACTCCTCCCGCTTTTAAACCAGTAACCATTGCAATTTTCGCATTATAATTTTGCCCATGTTTTCCGGCGCCCATTGCATATGCTTACTTTGCATATATGGTAGATCCGGCACTGGCTAGATAAATATTTTTTTAAATACATGTGAAAATTATAATAAAAATTTTCATGTTTAACAATAAATTATAATTTATGACATATTTGTATTGTGTCTATAATCTTAAATCTAAAACTTATCTTATAAATCCGTCCGATATTATATATTAATTAAAATAAATTAATAAAATAATTTTAACATTATTTGTTTATTGATTTATTTGAACATCTTCAATATTTTATGCTTATATATTATTATTAAACATAAAAAACAAAAACAAAAAAAATATTATAAAATAAAAATACAAAAAAAAAAGAGAAATTATAAAAAAAAATGTTATAAGGTAAATGTGTTTATTACGTCTGAGGCAATAATAAATGATGGCATTCAAGATTTTATCAGGTTTAATTACAAAAAATAAACAAAATGTAAAATATTTTCTTATATACAAATAATTAAGTTGTATGGCACATAACGGTATTATTTTGAAGTTGTATATTACAAAATTAAATATTTTATTTACTCAAATGCATTAGAATTTTGAAATCTGACATATTTCCTCCGAGGAATTCAACATCATCTACTTATGTTATTTTAAATAGAGAGTCTACGTATGTAATCAACTTAATTAATAACCCATTAGCAGTTTTGACTAATTAAAAGTTACATGTTGGCATAGTAGAGATACAAATAGCAACACTTCAAAATTTTATAACTACAAAATTGTGCAGTAATATAACAAAAAAAGACTAAGATTTATACTATCAAATCGTATGTTTTGCAGACTTAAAATTTCTACTCAAATTGATTACTTATTAATTTTTTTAATTTGCTTTTTTGAATTTTTATTCTTAAATTATCGACTGAATGTCGCATTTTCAAAAACAAAGTAAATAAAATTTGTATACATTTTAGAAAAAAAAACGGCATACGCCAACTACCGAATAATTCTTCTCGCTTGAAAATAACATTATACAAATATAACTACTTCTTTACACTTCACTTTCTTCTCACTTGCCGAGTAAAATAGCGAGATATTTTAGATAGGCCGATATACGATCAGGACCTAAATTAATTGCTTTGTCATCTATTTCATCAAATCATATACTAATAATTAAAATATATTCACTTAAAAATAAATTACAATGGCAACATTGTATTTGTTATCTAGGCTCTGGTAATATTATCGGCATTTTGTTTTATAATATCAAAAAAAAAAAACTACTCTGAATAAAATTGAATTAATGATAATGGTCTGGCAACAAATACTCATTTATCTTATAACAACACACACTGTATTTAGAATACATTTCACTTAAGATTAGAAATTAATTCCATTTATTTTATCATACTTATCTTATATACCCAATAATTTAATGTTAATATAGAAATTTAATTAAATTAAATAAATATGATTTTCTTAATAGATTTTTATGTTATTGTAAATAACTCTTTTTTTTTTTAATTCTATACATAAGTATACATACATTATATAATTATAACAGTTAATAATTATATAGGAAAGAATATAATAATTATATAACATAATTAATCAATAATAATTATTATTATTAGAGAAATAATAAACAGAAAAAAATAAAAACAATATTTTTCCAAAGTTAATGTTAATACTAAAAATTATTATTATTTTTATTATATTTTAAGTAATAAACAAAATTCAAAAATATAACAGTTTTCATAACCACTTTATATAATGTTAATATCACACACATTTAATATATCATAATCATTATATACTTGAAATTAGATTTAGAAAATTCATATAACATTTTTTATAATATTTACAAAAAAAAAGTAAAAAAAAAGTAAAAAAACAAACAAACTTACATAAATTTAAATTTTATTATTAATAATTGATTGATTTTTTTTTTTAATTATGACAAGAGTTACACACACAAAATGTATATAATACTTTTATAATTTCTAGTCAAAATTTGTATAATAAAAATTAATTTAAAAAATAAAAAAAATTTTAATGTGGTTTATTTTGAAATGAAGGAATGTTGCTGGCTGTCCAAGCAGATTCCTAACTCCAACGATAAGATCTAGTGATCTATTCGATATATACTAAAAACGAATTGCCTCCATTTACCTATATATGTAATTGTATAATGCATAAGTGTTATATTCTCAACTTAATTACATTTTATATTGCTTTCTTATATTGAACGCCTGAATTATTCTCTTTTTGAAGGTCACTTTTTGGAGAACTAAGATGAATTGATAAACGTTATTGTGTTAATTATATTGAGAACAAAAAAAAACACGTTGCGAAATATTAAGTTTTCACAAATGAGACGAATCCACGACTCAAATTTTAGATTGAGATGGTTAAGATGGAAGAATTAAATATCAAATATAATATAGGTTTGGGTAGAGTATAGCAAGGTTACGAATGTAATTAGTTGCTTTGGGTACTATCTATTCAT